CAAATTGCAGGCTAAGTATAAAGCAATAAAAAAAAAATCAGAAGGGAAAATATGGACCACAAAACCTAGAAAAAGAGGAAAATAAAATAGGAAATTTTTAAGCATTAGTCATTTTAAAGGTATTTCAAAATTATTAAACTATGAAAAGAATACCACTAAATGCCTTAATGTTCAAAGAGGAATAAAACATCACAGAACAAAAAGCATGTAGAAGATAACCCTTGTAGAAGACGTGCGAAATTCATTATGCAAGAGTACAAATACACTACATTTCATATCTACAGTGACTATAATGATGGCTATTATTGTGTCCACCTTTCTGTTAGTATTTCTGTGCAGTATTAACTAGTGTATCCCCGATTTCATAGAACAGACAACTGTGACACAGAGTGTAGTCTTGTTACGCAACCAGTATGGGCAGCGCTGGCATAATAAAGCTTTGTCAAAGTAAATAACCCTATGTTCTTAATAAAAACTGGACACTGCCTCTCATGGAAACATGCATCAAGAATAATGAAAAGATTCAAACCCTTTCATTTATGTATTTATTTCAGTCTTGGAAAGTTATCCTAAGAAGATAATTTAAAAGGAAAAACGTCACATTCCAAAGATGTTCACTCACTGAAAAGATATAGTCACTCATTATGTGTCAGCAAACAACCTTAAGCAAAGTATAAGATAGGAATGCAAATATTAATAGGAAATCCATGAAGGAAATCATACAATATTGGAAAACATTTCCAAAATAAATCTAAATGGTGAAAAATGGACCACACTATTGAATATTTAAAGTTAATGTTCACTGAGTGAAGTCCAAGATCTGAAATGAGTCTGAGAAGTTATATTATTTGGAAAGGAGGTTGGGGATAAATTTCCAATAAGAAAAGTCTTCACTGGAAGCATTATCACCTGATTTTTAAAAAGATTTATTTATTTGAAAGGCAGCATTACAGGGAAAGAGGAGAGAGAGAAAAAGAGAGAGACCTTCCACTGATTACTCTCCAAATGGTCAAAATGGCCAGGACTAGGCCAGGCCAAAGCTAGGAGCCAGGAGCTTCTTCTGGGTCTCCCATGTGGATGGCAGGGGCCCACACACTTAGGCCATCTTCCATTGCCTGGACTCCAACTGGCACCCAAATGGGATGCCATCCCTGCAAGTGGCGGCTTAGCCCAATGTACCACAGCACTGGCTTCCACCTGAGCTTTCAAAAAAAAAATTAATTTACTTATTTGGAAGGCAGAATGAGAGAAGACACACAGAGACAAAGAGAGATCTATACGTTGGTTCACTCCCCAAAAGGCCAGAACAGCCAAGTCTAGGCCAGGCCGAAGCCAGGGGTCAAAAACTCCATGTGGATCTCCCACATGGGTGACAGGGACCCAAGTACTTAAGCCATCAAGTGCTGCCTCCCAGGTACATTAACAAGAAGCTGCACAGGAAGCGGAGTAAATGGGACTTGAATCAGGAACTCCAGTATGCAATGCAGGGATTTCAAGCAGCATTTAACCTACCGCACATGTGGTCTGCCCCTGCCTAACTTTTTGACCCCAGACTGTACTTGGCATCATCTCTTGGTTGTGGCCCCCTGACTGGCAGGCATGCAGTCCTCAGAAAATAATCCCTCCTGCTTCCATCCCCTATTCTTCTACCTCCAAGTGGCAGAAGGCTCTTGTTTGTTTCCTGGGAACAACCTCTGTTTCTTGAATGGGAAATGAGGACAGGTCTGAAAAAAGCAGTAAATTTAGGTGACCAATAGGGTCAGCATACAGGGAACACCTACAAAAAATTCCAGCCGAGCAAAGGAATCACTTCCACTAATACATCAGTATACTGATCTAGTCTTGCAGGAATTAAATCATCTCAGTGTTACAGGCTGAGGGCCTTATGTTTTCATTCACTACCCATCTTCACAATCTGTGATTTTTGCAGGGGGTGAGGAATATCTGGCCTCTGGGCAATATAAGGTCTGTGAAATCATTTTTTTCTGGCCCTGCCAAGGCAAACACAGGAGGTATTTGATATTCAATAAATCTACAGCAGGCTGATTTTGAAGTTGATAATTTTGTGTGGCCCACAAATTATGTTATAAATATCCAAATGTCCCTTGGCAGAAAAAAGGTTCCTCACCCCTGCCACGGGGGCCATCTAGAAGACCCATGAAGAACTCCAGCAGAGGATCACCACAGTGTAGGGGATGTGCAAAGTGCATTATAGTCTATATTCATTTCATTTTGTGGGTCTTTTCCAATTACATTAGTGATTAAGAGTTTGCAAGACTAAACAAAACCTTTCAGAAACAGATCTGTTTTTGAAAAGATCTGAATAATGTTCAGCCTTTTGAGCTTAAGTATTATTTGGCAATGCCAGAGCTTCTAATACCTACGTAAGATCCACTATGGCATAAACTCCTTCATGTAACAACTGCCATCAGTAAACCTCTCAACATCTGAATTTTTCTAGAGGCTCATCTCATAGGTCAGGCCTACTACAATACACTTGTCCTATAGAGGTCCTTGATGGAGGGATACTCTTCATACCAGTGTCCTGGCTCTCCACACCTTAAATGCTCTCTTGTGGACTTTTCAGCCAGACCAAAATGTCTTTTGGGCTGATTCTGAGTCCACTGAAGGATACTTAGAGCAATTGCCATTGTGTGAGTCTGAATGGACTGCTTCCCATGGTGGAGCATTCTATCCTCTTAAACTCTATATATGTTATCACTAAACACTTAAAATGCTGCTTTTACCATCCAGTTCATGGAGATTTGGGGTCCCGTGGCTAGTTTTCAAATTGTACCCTTAGAACTTAGTCCACAGAATACATGTAGAATTATACAGATGAACAGTCTCTTTGTAGGAACTAAGAAGACAAAAATAGACATGGCTCTCCAGAAACCTAATTATGCTTAAGCATGTGACTTGGATCCATTGTATTACCTGCAATTTTGGCGCCTTAGTCTCCTTTTGTACCCAGAATGGGGTTCCATTATTCTACCCAGCCCACTAGGGGCTGTTTCAACCAGGCTTCTGAGTGGCCTTCCTGCATATAATTACTATCCAATGCCCCTCTTACATATATGAAATCACCATACCTGGAGTAGCTGGCCACGAGGGTGGATACCACCATCACAAAATGCCAGTACACTTGGAGGCACATACATGCATGACTGAGCTTTTCCAGAGAGCTGCAAATAAACTCAGAGATTGCCACCACCATTGCTGGATACAGACTTCCAGGTCACACCTCACACCAGGAAGCTGAATTCCTGGGTAATAAAACAAGTCCCCAGAATTCTAAGTGAATTCCTTTGTTGTAGGCTGGCATACAGAATAAAACTGATCAGGTTTGGGGGCCAGTGCTGTGGCACAGCAGGTTTAAGCCCTCGCCTGAAGTGCCAGCATCCCATATGGGTGCCAGTTCTAGTCCCAGCTGCTCCTCTTCCAATCTAGCTCTTTGCTATTGCCTGGGAAAGCAGCAGAAGATGGCCCAAGTCCTTGAACCCCTGCACCCACGTGGGAAACCTGGAAGAAGCTCCTGGCTCCTGGCTCCGGATGGGTGCAGTTCCGGCCGTTGTGGCCATCTAAGGAGTGAGCCAGTGGATGGAAGACCTCTCTCTCTGTCTCTACCTCTCTCTGTCTCTTTCAAATAAATAAAATAAATCTTTAAAAAAGAAAAGGTGATCAGGTTTGTGAGCTGGAAGACCACACCTTCACCACGCCCCTGTGTGATCTCATCCCCCTTTGTGCCCACCTGCCAAATCAAGCTAATTAACCACTCCCCTTTTGAAGTGGATTAAAGGCCTGAAACATGGTGGGCCTAGCCCTTCTTGCCCTCTTTCGCTATTATGGACCTTTGCTGCCCTGTACCTTTGGGGCGCATGGCCAACGCGCTGCCCATAAGCTGTTAATAGCTGCTCAAAACACTTGTTTCATGTGGCTTTTGGCCTGCTTTCTGCTTGGTAAGGATTCCAATTTAATTTCCAGACTTTCCCTTCTTGCTTAGATTAGACTAACACCCTCACTCTCCTATGCATTTATCTCACTGAATAAAAAGCTTAAAACTTATCATGTTGCCTCGTTCATTTATGCCAGTATTCGGAATCCTTCTCTGAATTTGTGGCAACAACATCCAGGCTTATCAATATTGCAAATTTATTAATAAGTACCCAGTAACACCTTGGCTATTTCACCCTGAAAATTCTCGGGAGTTTATACTGCCATGCCTAAGGCTTATGACCTAGGTGACCCATCATCACTGTGGTCCCAGTGACCCACAGAAGACACCTGACAGAGGAACATCGTAAGCCAATACAAAAAACTAAAATAAAAAATATCTCACTGCTGACCAGGAGTGCAGCATGCGATTGGCTATGGGGGCCGCCATCTTGGGTGAGGTCTGTTGCCCATCTTCTGGTAAGGGCGGAAGTCCCCATGAGCGCCACCATCTTGACAACCACCAAGTTTTCACTGGGGGCCACCATATTGGGGTGGAAGTCCCACCCTGGGCGGCAGGAAGTGGAGCTTTTGTCATGTTTGGAGTCCTGCCTTCTAGATGCTAGCTGAGGTTACTAAGCAACAGAACCTGTTTCCCTAGCCTGCCACACCAGGTGATACCCAATATTAGCAAATGAAAAGTCACTCTAGCATGCCTGATTGAAATGGAAAAAGCAGAGACCAAAGAATGGTAACTGTAAAATCATTCCATAAAGCCAAAGTTCTAACTTAACTAATAAAAATTATCATTAAAAACATGTTACACACACCTTGGAAACAGTTATAAATCAGCAAGCATTCACAAACTGGCCCACCTTTTCCCTGCCTCTCTGCCCAAATCCCATTAATGCTAACAGTCTGTATTGGCCTCTCCTCCCCACAACTATCAAAATTAGAAAGAATAAGATACCAACATTTGCATTTTAGCCGAGAGAAGAGACTAGGGGAGAGTTTCAGGATTTAGAAACACGTGTTCCTGAGACAGAAACCAGTTTAATTCCACTTACCTAACACTGTTGTTTCTGGAGTGAACTCTCTCCTGGTTGGCTCCGCCAATGTGTGGTGGCTAGGTTGGGTCTAAATTCCTATTCCAGACTCTTGTCTCTTACAGAAGCATTCTAAGTACAGGAACAAATACATATGTAAAATGATAGATTTCATTTCAAGGTAAGGAAAACAAACACGCGGGCATTGTTCAGCAAGAGCGGACAAAGAAGAGAAAGAATGAGACAGACAGCAGTAATGTACTTGCGCTAGGTTCACATGAAAAGCGGGAAAGAGCAATCCTCCTCTCCATTGCCAGGTAGAGAGTGATTACATGGTTCCGCCCCCAGGTCAAGGGATGTACATCCTGGGGTAAGGGTCATTTGATTAACAGGTGGCTGGATAGGATTGCATGGGGGGGGGCGTGGCTACCAGCCTTATATCACGTTCATAAAAAGGCAACACATGAAAATATAGGTAGTCATATATGCATAGTGGCATTGAGGTGATACCTACTTCCTCATTTCTATTTTCTGAGAGCCCAATAGTTAATACAGCATGTTTGCATTTAATGAACAAAAAGAGTTACGAAAAGCTCAGCTAAAAATGTGGCAGTTTGCCTAGAAAAACTGGAAAGATGAGAAATCTTACAGGCCCCTGGCAATCAAAGAAATTCACTTTCAAAATATATTTGTTGTTCATCAGATTAGGAGATACTTAAGAAACAGTAGGAGTTGCAAGGCTAGCTTAAAACATACTTACCTCTTTAAAGAAGGAATTTTCACTTTGAGGAGTAACTGTTTTCCAAACATGAAGGGCGGAGGTAGAGCCGAGAGGCGGGCATTCGTATTACCACACTGCCCCCACATGGTCAAAGTTTCAACAAAAGACGACAAAGGTCTTAAGAAAACGTTCGCTTTGCGCCCGTTTGGGCTGTTTAGGACCTCATCATTCCACTAACGGACTAAAGCAACACAAACGGCAAGCGGGAAGCCACCGCTTTCCGCACAAGCAGCCCACCCGGTAGCTCGTGGTGTTACCCCGGAAGTGGATTTGCAATTGTGACGCAGGAGGGCTCCTGAAGTCCCGCCCCGAAGCCATAGCAACAGCAACAGGAAGTTCCTCTGTTAGAGCCTGTCCCTTCCGGTGGCGGGAGCGCTGAGGCTGCCGGCGAGTATTGGGTGTGTGCTGAATTGCTGCCGCTCCTCCGTAAGCAGAGCCGAGTCTGCTCTATGGGCGGTTTCTTCTGCTCAGCGTGGTTGCGGACATTGCTGGGAGGAGTGAGAGCGAAGAGGAAGTAGGCGTTAGTCTTCGGTACCTTTCTAACCATAGCTCGGGCCGTGCAGTGAAAATGGGCACGCTTAGTCGTGCTGGGCATGCGCATTCTTGCTGTACGGAATTCCCGAGGCGGCTGCATCATCATGGCGTTGAAAGTTTGGTGGGAAGTTTCTCCTGTTCTTTTTCTTTGTAAGTAAGGTAAGGGGCTGGGTGCTTGAGTGAGCGAAAGCCTGCTAGCCCTGGAACGCCTTCTAAGGACGTCCTTTCCCAGCCTCCCGCACAGCCTCTCCCCTCGAAGCCATGTGCTTTGGGTACGTGTTGTGTACCAGACACTGCTTTCGAGCCCGGGCACCCAAGACGGTTAGAGGACACGAGTGCCCAGTTCTCAAGGCATATTCATCCCCTTGGGTGGAGACAGACAATAAACGCACTAACAGTGATCAGCTTAGGGCTAAGGGATAGTAAGAGAATAAAAGGAGTGATGCGACAAAGACAGGCGGTGGACGGATTCCCAGTTAGACGAGGTAGTCAGGGTCGTCTCCTTCCAGCAATGATGTTTAAAGGCATTAGGGATGCTGCTGCGTGGCTTTCATGGCCCTGAAATGCTGGTTCTGCGTTGTTCGTGGCTGGTTAACAGAGCTGAGCACACAGTGTAGACAGGTTTGCTGCGTTTGCTCCCAGACTCAAAACTAGCGCCAGAATGGAAAACTCTTAATAGAAGGGCCATGTGGGGTGAGGAAGTGCCCACACCAGAGTGTGTACCGCTAGAGCTGCTCCATCAGGGCCCTGAGCGCTTAGGCCAAAGGCATCTCTCCACGGAACCTAAGGAGTGCAGAGGGTGGGGAAGCCTAGTTGCCTTCCTCTGTGTGCCCTGCCTTCCCTTCTGGCCTCCTTTCCTTATGGATCCTGGGATCTTCTTCTAGGTTAGGGCACCACAGAGCTTGTCTGCTATAGTGGAGAGTATGTCAGTGACAGGCCTCCCTTCTGTCATTACAAAGCTGGTGGAATACATGTTTTTAATATTTATTTTTGAAAGGCAGAGTTACAGAGAGAGAAAGAGAGAGAGATCTTCCATCCCCTGGTTCACTCCCCAAGTGGCTGCAATGACCTGGGCAAAACCAGAAGACCAGAGCTTCTTCCAGGTCTCCCATTTGGGTATTGGGGCCCAGAAACTTGGGCCATCTTCTGCTGCTTTCCCATTCACATTGGCAGGGAGCTGGACAGAAGTGGAGCAGCCAGGACTAAAACTTGCAGTTACATGGGATGCTAGTGCTACAGGTGGCGCCTTACCCCACTGTGCTAAGCTGAACCCAGGTGGTGTATCTTAATTTTGGTGACAGTTTGGTATGGGCCCCATGGTGCTATATGTCCTACATAGTTGTGGCAACTTCATGGAATTGGCACAAGTGATCACGACTGTGATGTTATAAGGAATCCTGTGGCTTGTAGTGAAGGCGGAACTGATGACAACAACGTCATGTGTAAGTAACATCACTGAGTATGTGAACACATGTTCTCTGGTGGGCCCCAGTGGGATCCTTTAGTCATCCCAGCTCGGGGGCTGAGAAAGGAGTTGAAAAGTTGTAGAGCTGTCACTCGCTATGGTTCTTTTGTAGATGTGGGGTGTTCACAGTGAAGGGACATCCAGCAAACAGGCCTCCAGAGAGAACGAACACAATGAGATCCGGCATTTGATGGATAAGCTGCCTTTTAGGATCCTGGACCAAATGTCCTAGAAAACTAGATCTGATGCAAAAGAAGTGGAAGCAGACAAAGCAAGGGTGAAGTATTTGAGTAGTTGGAGAGGGAGAGTGCAGGAGATGGTTGGGACTGGCTGGTGGGTTGGTGGGCTTTTTCCCTAAGAGTGGGCTTTGGAAAGTTCATGGAAGCATCAGATTAAAAGGTACGTTGATTTTGGTGTAAAAAGTTCCAAGTCTATGCACGAATTTTTCATTACACGTATTTTCTGTGCAGGTTGTGAAGGCCTTTGATCGTCCCTCATTTAACCTTTGTAATGACACGGGAACACCAGACAGGGTGCTAGAGGAGGCAGATTACTTCTTCAAGCTGCTTTGCATCTGCAACTTGGAATTTTCTGGGACAGTGGAAAGGCAGTGAAGGAAAACGTCTCATCTCCTGCATTATGTTTTCCTTCCTTTGTTTGATGCATTATGTGTGAGTTTCTCTTTAAAGGCTCAAGTATATTTCAGCAGGGACCTCCTCTCATCTTTGAATTTAATTTGCTGTTAGCAAATCCATAGGTCACAAGATGGGAGGGAGGCCCTCCCTGGAAGAAAAAGCTGATCATCTCTGTACAGATATGCACATGTGTGGGTACATAGGGAGGTAGATACAGACCCCTGTACTCAAAGAGATTTCCTGCCTTCTCCAGTGTGGGAGAAGAAATCCAGTTTGAGGAAAGGGTGTGAACCTCCAGGGTCTCATGTGGGGTCAGGCGTTTGTCAGACTGGCCACAGTGGGACATGTCTCCCCTTGTCTGGAAGCCTGGTGGCTCTTGGTCCCTTGGTACCAGCACTGGGATGTGGAGTGAAGCACTCACTATGTGTGGGAGCAGTCAGCAGTCCCTGCAACAGTTTGAGCCGAGTGAGTCAATGAGGCTTTGATGCTTGTTCCTAAGCCAGTCCCACTCCTCTCCCGTGGGACATGAAGTGAGGGGCTCCCTGGTTTCCCTTTTCTTCTGAGGACCTTTTCTGGGCAATGTCTCATTTTCAGATTGGTGAAACCACCTCACTGTGTGTGCTTTTTCCTATGAGCAAAGTTAAGGTTTAGTTTCAGAGAAGCCAGAAGTCCGGGTGGATCACCTGCTTTGCTGTCGTGTGTCTTCCTCCTGCTTGTGGCTCTTGGGCCAACTGAAAAAGTCAGCATAAACACATAACTCTTTTCCTTAGTGGGACCTGCCCATGCCACCCTCTCCAGTAGGAGCACACCTGTACCTAGAGGCTAGGAGGCCAGCAAAAGCCACAGCCTTTGGACTAGGTTATAAGGCATGAGTGCTGTGTCCCTGCCAAAGTGAAAGCATCTTCCTGCCTCGTGCTTATTCCAAATGCTTATGGTCCTCCTCTCTTGGGTCTCTATGCAGGCCTGCCCTGGCACCTCACAACTAGCTTTCCTCTTCAAATCTCAGCACTGCCTCCCCTCCTCTCTGTTGGCTGTTGCCCTTCCTTTGGAATTCACTGCCTAAGAGTCCATCCAAGTTAAGAAGCCTCATGCAGAACTATTCCATCCGCCCATGTAAACCTTCACTTGCTACATTCCCAGTCACAGGCAACGATGTGGATCCTCTTTTCTTAGTCATTCATCTTTCATTGGGCTCTTTTACTCCCTCCTCATTTTCCATTGGTCAGGAAAAACCCTGTGAGCTCTCTCGTCAGAGCAGACGCAGAATCTGATGTCTTACCACCTCTGCTGCTACTGCCCTGACCCAAGTCCATCTGTTCCCCCTGGATTGTGGGAATTGCTTCCCAACTGTCTCCCTGCCGCACCGTCCTTCTCTTTACTCCCCATGATCAATCCAGTAGCCAGAGTAATGCTGTTAAGACAACAGTCCTGTCATATGATGTCTGCTCAAAGCTGGCAGGCCTCATGTCATTCAGGGTAAATCACACGTCCTTGCCTGTACCCATCAGGCCACATGTGCTCTGTTCACCAGTCCTCTCTCTTTCTTTCTCTCATAGTTCTCCCCTCCCTTCTCAGTCCCCTCTGACTGTACTAACGTCCTGTTGCTCCTAAAGTAGATACAGACTTTTGCCCCGTGTTCCTTCTGCCTGGAACTTTCCCTGAAGGTGTCCACAGGGTTCCCCTTTTTTCATGTGTTTGATTTAACATTTGGTTTCCATGTACCTAACCCTCAGCATCTGATCTCATCTCTTGTGACCCCTCCACCCCCACCCTCACCTAAATGCACAGTTCCCATTTCCCTCCTGTTCTTGATGCGTGTTGTCCTCTGAGCATCCTTATGTACTTGTTATGGTTCTTTGCTTGTTTGTGCCTACCAGAACGTCAGTTCTCCATAGCCTACTTTTTCATTGTCTTTAGTGTGTGTCTGTTACGATTTTGTTCTGATTGTGTCTTATAGTAGCTACTCCCTAAATTTTATGGAATGAATAATGCATGTTACCAACAACATCATCTGGCTTCACAACACTTTTTTTTGGATCCATTGAAGAATGAGAGGGAAATGTTAATGTTTCCTACAATGTTGTATTTCTGTCCATTTCTCCTCATAATTATAACATCATCAACAGAGTCCCAAATAGATATTTTGTTAAGATATTCTCCACTCATTGTGCCCTATCCAAGTGTAATAGGTTCATACTTTTATAGAGTCTTCTATTTGGGGATGATTGAGCTGTAGGATGTGTGACCACAGCCATAGATTATTTTCTTTCCACCTGGCTTCTGATGGCAGGATACCATGGCTCTCTACTCTGCTCACCCCTTTCTGAATGCCAGCATTTGAAAAAAGCCTATCTCCCAATTATATGTCAGATAGTATGCATATTGCTACCCTGTCCATGAAGAATGGCAATGGTGTACCTGTCTGGTCATGCCAAATTCTTGTTCTGTAGCTCATCTGAGGAGAAATAGTCATTAGCCCCAGTGGAGACTGATTCTTCATGACAACTACCTTCCATCCTGCTGTGTCCACAATGGCTGCCAGAAAAAGAAGCCTTGGGACTATACCAGTTCCTTTCAGGACAGCCATAATATCCCTGCTCGTGGCTGTATATCTGGTTTTCTCCATCCATGCAGTCTTCTGAAGTTCCTCAGGATCCTTCTGCAGTCTGTGCAGTGTGACTTTCCCTTCCCATTCTTTGTCTTTGTAGCTGTTTCTGTTTGTAGCACATCTTAGAGGGTACCAACTACCATACCAGCAGCAAGTGGTCAGTTCTCTTAAAAACAATCAATTCTCCACTTTTTAACTACCTGGGAAATATCCTGTGCTCCATTTAGTAGAAAGTGAACATAAGTAATTTTGTGTCTCTCCTTGGCTTTGACTCACATAGGTTTTTGTTTGTTTGTTTGTTTGTTTGTTTGTTTTTTTACTTCTTGTTTCCTTGGCTTTTACTCTCCAGGAGAAGCCTTATTTATCAACCAGCAGTGTCAGTTCAGTTACCTTGGCACTCCCCATCATCAGACAACTATTTGTGAGATTAAGCTGCTTGGCACCTGATTCATAGATGTGGTATGAATTTCACTTTTACTTTACATTGGAATGTTTCTCTTGTATTTTGCATTGTTTCTTCTGAAACACATGGCTTATGGATGTGGCATACTTGGGCATCAGACTTGCAGTCTAAATCTTACTTTTACTTTGAGTAATGTCTCCCATACCATAGATGTGAGCAAGAGCTAATATATTCATACGTGTCCCCATACCATTCGATATAACCACCCAGTTTTCCCACTGCCCTCACAAAAAAAGAAAAGCTGAAATCAGACCAAGGGCACTGAGCGACTCAGCAGCAGTACTTCTGTGAGGCCTTATTATGTGCTGAATATCTGTGTTTCTTCAAAATTTGTATTTTGAAATGCAGTCCCCAATGTGATGGTGTTTGCAGCCTTAGTGTTCAGGAAGTAATTATGTCACAAGGATGGAATCTTCATGAATAGGATTTTTGCCCTTCTAACGAGGCCAGATAGCTACCTAGTTCTCACCATGTGAGTATACAAGGATATTCAAAAATGTTTATGGAAAAAGTATATTATGTTTTTTCATTTGTATTAATTCTAAATAAATTTTTATATAAAAATAAACTTACCTCTTAATCTCATTTTCCTCCAGCATTCTTGAAGACCCTTCAGACAACGAGAAGGCAGCTGTCTGAAAACTGGAAGGAGGGTCCTCAGCAGAACCTGACTGCTGGCATCCTGATGGTAGACTTCCAGCCTCCAGAACTGTGAGAAATAAATTACTGTTGTTTATAAGCCACTCAGTTTATGGTAATTTTTCATAGCAGCCTAAACAGTGTAATAAAGGTCTTCAATGCAGTGACAGTTTATTTAGTCCCAGCTACCTAAAGTAGTTTCAGTAAATGAGAATGAGGTCATCCTAAGCCAGGTGGGCTGCCTCTTCTCACCCTGTCTGGTTTGCCATGTCCTATATTCTAGGCATTTGAGTGAAGAGCCTATCTCAGACTCCTGAGTCCCAGGGCCTAGAAGATGTGGACCCTCACCAGAATATTCTCTCTGGAGATCCAAGATTATTCTATATTGCTTAGTGCTCAGCTGAGGTGAACATGGGTAAAACCCAGGCCCTCATGTGGAGTAGCTCAATTAAAAGCTCCAGTACCAGGGCTGACGCTGTGGTGTAGCAGGTAAAGCTGCTGCCTGCAGTGCCCGCATCCCCTATGGGCACCGGTTCAAGTACCGGCTGCTCCATTTCCAATCCAGCTCTCTGCTATGGCCTGGGAAAGCAGTAGAAGGTGGCCCAAGTCCTTGGGCCCCTGCACCCACGTGGCAGACCCGGAAGAAGCTCCTGGCTTCGGATCGGCCCAGCTCTTGCCATTTTGACCATCTGGGGAGTAAACCAGCAGATGGAAAACCTCTCTTTCGCTGCCTCTGCCTCTCCGTAACTCTGCCTCTCAAATAAATAAATCTTTAAGGAGAAAAAAAAAGCTCCAGTGCTGAATGGCAGAGTGGGCTCTTCAAGGACATACATAGCTTTTATGTGTTAAACTCAAAACCAGCAGCCAGCTCTGCTACATAAGATCTATCTACTTCTGGTCAAAGGACTCCCTAAGTAGCCTGAAGGAGTACTGTATTCTATTCCAGTGCTAAATACCACTAAGAAACAGCTTTTCACCTGTGTGTGATTTGGCAAGTTCCCTTTTAGCATTCATAGCCAAGTGTCATACTTTACTCACTCTATTCTGGGATTAATGGTGTTTGAAATGTGGAGATTAAATATATCAGTTAAACATAATCAATTTGTAAGAATTCTTTATTATGCAAATTAGCTCCTTATCTGTTAGGCTTTGCAGATATTTTTATGTAATTCATTATTTATCTTTTGACTTTTTAAAAATTAATTTCCTTGGCCAGTGCCATGGCTCACTTGGTTAATCCTCCACCTGCAGTGCCAGCATCCCATATGGGTGCCGGATTCTGTCCCGGTTGCTCCTTGTCCAGCTCTCTGCTGTGGCCTGGGAGGGCAGTGGAGGATGGCCCAAGTGCCTGGGCCCCTGCACCCGCATGGGAGACCAGGAGGAAGCACCTGGCTCCTGGCTTCAGATTGGCCCAGCGCTGGCCGTGGTGGCCATTTGGGGAGTGAACCAACGGAAGGAAGACCTTTCTCTCTGTCTCTCTCTCTTACTGTCTATAACTCTACCTGTCAAATAAATTTTAAAAATCCTTTAAAAAAATAATTTACTGATTTGAAAGTCACAGAGACAGAGAGAGATCTTTCATCCACTAGTTAACACCCCAGATAGCCAAAACAACCAGGGCTAGGCCAGGCAGAAGCCAGTAGCTTCATCTGTATGTCCTATGTGGATGGTAGGAGCCCAAACACTTAGGCCATCTTCTCCTTTTCCAGGCAATTAGGAGGGAGCTGGATCAAATATGGAGCAGCTAGAACACAAACCGGCAGCCATGTGGGATGTTAGCATCATAGGTTGTTGGCTTTACCCGCTATACCATAACACCAGCCCACCTTTTGACTTTGTTTATGGTATCTTTTGCCATTAAAAATTACTAGTTTTATGTTGTAGAATGTTATCATTTTTTTATCTAATGAATTCTAAATCCCTTGACTTGTTCAAGAGTCAGCCCATGGATTATATATAATTTTCCTACATTTTTTCAGGTTTTTTTTTTCAAAGATTCATATTTTTGTTAATTTGAAAGGCATAGTTACAGAAAGGGAGAGACAGAAAGAAGCTCCCATCCACTAGTTTACTCCTAAAATGACTGCAACTGCTAGGGCTGGGCCAGGCCAAAGCTAGAAACCAGGATCTTCTTCTGGGTCTCCCATATGGGGGCCAGTTTGTGTCTGTGCTGCTCTATTTCTAACCCAGATCCCTTCTAATGTGTCTTGGAAAGCAATGGAAAATGGCTCAAGTCCTTGGGCCCCCGCACCCATGTGGGAGACCTGGAAGAAGCTCCAGGATCCTGGCTTCAGATGGGCACAGCTCCAACTTGCAGCCATTTGGGGAGTGAACTAGTGGATGGCAGACCTCTCCACCTCTCTTTTTCTCTCAGCTTCTGCCTGTCCATAACTTTGCTTTTCAAATAAATAAATAAAAAAAGTGGAGCAGCCTGGAGTCTTAACAGGTGCTCATATGCAGGTCATGAAAAAACTATACATTCAGGGCCTGTGTTGTGGTACAGCTGGTTAAGCTGCTCCCAGAACTAACTTTTTATTTTTTGAGAGATTTATTTCTTTATTTATCTATTTATTAGAAGAGTTACAGAGAGAAAGGGAGAGAGAGTCTTCATCCATGCACTGGTTCATTCCTCAAGAGGCTTCAAAAGCCAGGGCTGAGACAGGCCAAAGCCAGCAACTTCTTGCAGGTCACTTTTGTGGATAGCAGGGGCTCAAGCACTTCGGCCATCTTGCACTACTTTTGCCAGGCCACTTGCAGGGAGCTGGATCAGAAGTGGAGCAGCCGGGATACAAACCAGAGTCCATATGGGATGTTGGCATTGCAGATGGCAGCTTTACCTGCTATGCCACAACGCCAGTCTCAGAATCAACTTTTTTAAATGGATTTTCTCATTTTCAATTACATTAATTTCTGCTCTCTATTTGCTTTCTGTTTATTCTTGTTTTTTTGCTTTCTTGAAATAGAAACTTAAATTACGGGTTTAAAAACTTTTCTAAGATAAGCATTTATGTTATAAATTTCCCTTTCAGCGCTGCTTTAGCTGCATCCTGTGTATTTTAATATGTTGTGTTTATAGTTTTATTCAGTGCTACTTTTATTTCTTATTAGATTTTCTTTTTGATACATTGATTATTTGTAATTATGTAGTCTATTTTCCAAGTGTTCAGAGATTTTCAGGATTTCTCGTTTGATTCCCTTCTGATCAGTCTATTGTGCATGATTTCAATTTAATTGTTGACATTTGTTTTATGAGGTAGTCTACTTGTATCAATCTACCTGTTCTTATTTCTCTCACTTTTCATCCTGCATTAATTTGATAACTGAGATTTACAATGTAGGCCTAACATTTCCCACCTCACAACCTTTTTGCTTATGCAGCTTACAGAGAAGCCAAGGTCCCAGAAAGAGTTATCAGGTTTTTTTCTAACTTATATATTTATTTAAGTCTGCTGCAATGGATTTCAGATCAAGGGAATTTCTTAGTTGCATTTTGCATAGTTTTCTATAGATGGCAGCAGAGCATCAAAAAGAGACCAAATTCCTCTTCTTCCTCCACCCTTTGTGTTTAAAAAAAAGAGAAAAACAGAAATGAATGTATTTCTACTGCTTTGAATGCTAGGATACTCCCTTGAAAAATATCCTTTTAAAATTTCTTTGCCAATTTGAGAAATGGAACAGATTATTATTTTTTAAGTGGCCTTTTAAAATTGTTAGATTGAATTTGCTTTTGTATGTTTTTATTGGCTGTTTTTCACCACTAATTTATCTTTCCATTTCTATTCTTCATTTTCCTGTTGGAAGTTTTAAAGGGTAACTTCCTCTTTTTATCATTACAGAAATAATATATTCCATTATAGAAAAATTAGAAACTTTAAACACATTGTAAAGCAAAAAATTAACACAGGATACCACTACTAACATTTTGATATACTTTGCCCATTCCTATACTGGTCTTATGGTGTGATATTTTGAGGTTAAAATTATGTATTTTGTCCACATTTGCTTCCTAATTTTTAAATTAAGATTGTGACCCTCTCTATCTTGAATTTTTTTTCTTAGTGTCCTTTAGCTCAATTAAAACACTTAATATAATTTACATCTATTCTTTTTGTAAATTATTGGTACTTTTTATATGTATTCCTACATATTAAATTTGAATAACTTTGTGAACTCCCCCCCATTTAGGCATTTTTAAATTTGTGTTGGTTCAAATTTATATTACTTTGAAAAAAAAGTATCATCTTTAAAATAATTAAGTTTTCCCAACCAAGAATATAGCTGATTCCTTTATTGACTTACCCCCTTTATCTTTTCCAGTACAATTGTCCATTTTCTTCATATAAATAAAGAATATTTCTTCTTAGATATTCCTAGTATTTTCTGTTTTCCTTATTATAAATAGGAGGTAGTTTGTCAATGAATGGGGAAAATGAAGCCCACTTCCTCATATAATGGTGAACATGTCTTAATGTTGCAATCCTGTATATACCTTATTGAAATGTTTTTGAGTAATTCATACTTACTGTTGAAGTGCTGGGAAATGCAAAACAGCAAAAAGTAGACAACAGTCATCTATGAGCTAAAAACTCATTAACACCTACTATTGATTGGTACATTACCTTTTCGTCCTTTCTGGGTTTATATTCTTGTATGTGTTCATAATCACACACTTTGACATGGAAACATGCTTCTGAAAAACTCAAACAGTACAGGGAATTATAAAGATATGTAATAAAAAGTGAATGCTTCACCATCCTCAAACCTATTTCTCTTTAGCTCCATCCCTGCTGAAGCAAGCAGTATTGATAACTCTTAAATTCTTTTAAGAACTATCCATCTATTTGAAAAGCAGAGTGATACAGAGAGAGAGAGATTTCATCATTGGCTCATTCCCCAGATGTCCACTAAAGACACTCCATTATGGGATGCCAGTATTGATTATTTGCTGACTTTTTTTCTAAGATGTATTTATTTATTTGAAAGACAGAGTTACAGGAGAGAGGGAGAGACACAGAAAGAGATTGTCCATCTGCTAATTCACTCCCCAAGTGAACTAGTGCAGTGACCAGGTC